GAACGCGCAGCGTTATATCCACGAAGTTCTAGAACCCCATCTTTTACCCTATCTTGACACCCTGGCAGATCCAACTTTCCAACAAGATAATGCCCGACCACATGTTGCAAGACTCACAATAGACTTCTTTCAACATAATGATGTCACATTGTTACCATGGCCACCAAGATCTCCCGACTTATCCCCAATTGAGCACGTGTGGGATATGATGGGTAGGAGATTGCTCAATTTGCAACGTCCTCCTCAGACTCTAGAAGCACTTCGAGAGGAGTTGGTGGTTGCCTGGAATGAGATACCACAGGAGGACATTGACCACCTGATCAGAAGCATGCCTAGGCGCGTTGGAGAATGCGTAGCACATCAGGGTGCATCCACACATTATTAAAGGTCAAAGGGCTTTAAAGCAGTGCAATCATTTTGAAATTTTTATCATTCACTTATTATGCTTCATTAAGTACTTATACAAAATTTTATTAAAATAAAACCATTTAAACTGGCTGTTCGGATTTATATGTCACTTGGTATAGAAGATTGTAAAATGAACTGACTAGGCTGGAAACTTCTCCTACCATATGCAATACGCAGATTACAGAATTAGATAAGCAATTTAGTTAAATTACATATCTTCTTGAAAACCATACTGAATTTTAAAAAAATGACACATTTATTTCCAAGAACTTCAATTTGCCTGTACAAATCACCATAACATCGTAAAAATACTGGCAATAAAGTGAAGCTTTAACGAGTATTGATTTTTCCGCGTGATCAATAGAATTTCATCGAAAAATAAGAATCTATGTCGCGTTAACAAAAATGATGTCCACATGTGAAAGGTTAATTGGTCAACACTTGCACATCTCTAAATATTATGTATGATACACATATAGTACAGTAGTCATAAATACATTTGGAAAAATGCAACACTAATACGAAATTCACTCTTTATTAGTGAAAAATGCATACCTAACGTTTGAAGATAGTAGATATTTTAGACACAGGACTGCCACACATCATGATTAACCTCACCGGCTTAGATCAGTTACATGTCATAGGAACAGACGATGTAACTGCAAGCGTATGACATAACAATACCGTTATCAAGAGAAATTCAAATAAAATGCTAAAATATAATTTTAAAACAGATTGCTTTGTATGTAGGATTGTAATAACAAGAAAGATCATTTAATTTTCATCTAAAGCAATTGTGTTTTTGTTGTTAATAAAACGCAACACATATTCTAGGACTTCGCAACAATTTGAAAATTACCAAATAAAACAAAAGTAATTTCAGTTAGTTCATGTGAATTTGCCTTAAAACAAATACTATAAAAACCTGTCCTGCGGAATTTTTGCTGCAATTGACACGCACTATAACGTATTCATGATGGAAAAATAGATTTTTTTGAACTTGCCGAGATTCTTCTTGTTCTAGTATCTACTGCTTCATTTTATCTAATACTACTGTATTAGAAATTGAATTTATAATGATTGCCCAACACTCAGCCTTCGTTGTATCTTCCTAGACACCAAAACACTATAATGTGTCAGTTGTTTACACTAAAATTTGACACAAATGTGCTACTGCATAAACAAATGAAGCAAATCGGTTAATTAATCCTTACGATTTTTCATGATACATTCATGTGAAAAAGAAGCCGGAGATCCTTATTTGAATGTTCATTATCAATGTCAATTTTTGTACTTTGGACTGAAGCAAACAATGAGGTGTTAATTTGATCCTATAATATTATTATCTAGAAACGGCACCAGCTAAGCGTCAATGGCAGATATGTCTTGAAGTTGAAATTTAAGGTACGGACAATACTATTTTACAAAGTGAGGATATGAAGTATGCAACCATGTGTACGATCAACTTTTAGCGGCATTGTAATTTTTCCTACAGTAGGTGTTTATCATATTGTACGAACAGCAATGAACCATAAAAACAAATATTTAGAACTGGGTATTATTTAAAGTCGTCTGGGTGGGGCAATTACTCTCCTATCCTTCCTTAGGAGCATCACTGTACCGCTAACCGGCACGGCACGGATATTACGTAATCTGAAAAGTGACATTATGTCGGTTTTTTGACATTATATTGTTTTTTTGCGACATTATGTAGTTTTTTCTACAATACGTTAACTTAGCACTAGCGGATGTACACTTGTTGTGAACTCGTTTTGTAGTTGTACGTGTTGCCTAAACGTTATGATGCGTCAGTTATCAATGTTTGGCTCTGATGCGATACAACATCTGCTTCAGAGATGGCATGGTTGGAGGTCTAAGCTGTAAGTAAGTAAGTTGTATACTATAGCTAGAAGGAAACGGCAGCGCATAGGTACATAGTGAGGATTTTTATGCTAATAATATGTGTTGATGATAGTTCCATTGGTTTCTTGTCTCAAATACACCTACTTGAGATTGAAAGGTAGACATTAGTTTCTCATCCACTTTTTCTTATTCATTCTGGCAATTACATATGCAAATTTGCTGAATTTCAAAAATGAGAAAGATTAAAAAAGAAAATTCCTGGTTGGTGAAATAAGAAGCGAGAAAATATGCTACAGACAGGAATATTCATGAAAGTGACAAGATTATTACATTATTTTTTTATTTCCAGTCATTTAAATTTTATAGAAATTTTGCAATGTCAATGGAAAATGCAAATCAGCGCATAGATATGACGCATTGCGAAAGTATTTCTGTGATGTGGCTTGATTGCACACAGCGCGGGCGCAAATATCACTGATTCTACGTAGTCGTGCCATAAGTTCTGTCCCATGATAATCTCATGATAAAAATGAAACAAGATAAGATATATTTATATGAAAGATATTATTTATTCGACAACATTTTTAGAATTCATAATCAAACAGTTTTATTCAAAATGTCCCCCCTTGGCCTTCACACACTGCTTCAATCTCGCGGGCCACTCATCTATCACTGCACGCACAGCTTCCAAAGGAATAGCTGCCGCTGATCGGATCAAATCCGCTTTCAGGGACTCGATATTACGGTGGGCTTTGGAGCAGGCCAACTGCTCTAGCAGGTCCCACAACTTGTAGTCTAAAGGATTGAGGTCCGGACTCCCTAAGGGCCAATCTTCCGCAGCAATGAACTCTGGCACATTGCTTTCCAGCCAGCGCTGCGTACTCTTAGCCTTGTGAGCGGGGGCGGAATCCTGCTGGTAGACCCAGTGTTGGTTGGCAAACAATGTACCACTTAAAGGCTTGACGACAGGATCCAGTATGTCGCTCTGATAGTTTGCCGCTTTTGTTTTCACGCCCTGTTTACAGAAATGGAGCTGAGTGACCCCTTCGTAGGACACCCCCCACCAAACCATGACTGACGCAGGGTGGTGGCCTCTCTCAACTCTCGGAATGATCTCCGAAGCTTCCTGTGAACTCCTTGCATACACTTTGTCATTTTGTCGGTTGAATTTTTCTTCTATGGTGAAGATTTTCTCATCCGTGAACAAAATCTTTCGGAATCCCCCAGCTGCGTACCTCTCCAAGAGCTTCTTGGATCTTGTCGCCCTGATGTGTCGCAAGGTGGCCGTAAGTCGCTGGCCCGTACGTCTCCGGTAAGCCCCTAGCCCTAGGTCTTGTTTAATGATGCGCGACATCGTCCGGACAGGAATCTTCATTTCCCTGGATAGGATCTTCTGCTTCCGGAGTGGATTCCTTTGAATCCTGGCTTTTACGGCTTTGATGGCTGCTGGAGTCCTTACTTGACGAGGTCTTCCGCTTCTTGGCCTGTCATCAACAGAGGACGTCTCATTGTACCGCTGAATGGTCCTAGACACAAATTTACGCGATATTTGAAGGCCGCGTAAGAGTTCAAAAATCTGACTAGCACTGTGATTACACTTATGTAAAGCTATCACTGCAATACGGTTCTCTGCCTTGCCCCACTCCATCGTTATGCTTCGAGAGATCAATACAAACTGAGGTATAACATATGTAATTACCCGAAAAGCGCTTAATCAACTGACACCACAATGTAAACAATCGGACAAGTATTAACAGGTCTACACTTGTTTGAAAACGAGGGACAGAACTTATGGCATGACTACGTATACATATGCAGACCAATATAGATAATCATCCAGATGCGATCTTGCTATTCAACCCACTTTCTTTCTTTCACATCTTCTGTACAGGCTACTCGGCTTCACAAAGCATATACTTGCTTTCTGCAACCAACAATGCGTATAATAGGGTCATTCCTCCATAGATGGACTCTGACAGCGATTATAGCAAGCAAACGTGGAATGAACTGTTTGCACACTAAAAACTACCTAGTCTGCAAGATTACATTTTCTTGGGTTTTTTTGACGTTTTATAGATTTTTTTTCACATAATAGCCGTGCGGGAATTACGAGATTTCTAGCTTTTTCTACAAGATGTTAACTTAGCTCAAGCTGTTGTACACTTGTTGTGAAATCGTTTTGTAGATGTACGTGTTGCTTAAACGTCAGCGAACAGCAATCATAGCAAGCAAACGTGGAATGAACAATTTACACACTAAAGACTACCTAGTCTGCAAGATGAGATTCCATCGTTTTTTTTTCTTTTGACATTTTTTGGGTTTTTCACATAGTAGCCGTGCGGAGGGCGACGCGGGATGTCTGAGTGATAAATGGCACTTCCTTAACAAACGCTCTTGACGTGTTTTCCAGTTTCACTGACTCTATTGACGTTTTAAAAGTCGGATAACTTCAAGAATAATTAAGATTTCTATTTATAATAACAGAAATATCTGGTATACGTCAGTATTTAAGTTATGCTCTGACAAAATAAAACTATATCATCAAGATTTTTTTGAAGTGACTTTAAAACCAGACAAAACAGTAGCTCTGAGAGATGGAACTACAACACACTTTACAATTGATTCAGCTTTTTAACTTGCTTGAAAGTCCGCCATCGATGGTGGGGTCGTACAGTTGAATATCTGTTTCATGTGTATCTCAACCAGACTAGATTATTCCATAATTTTTCACAGCTTTGATCTTGCTAAATTGCGACCAATTCAATTGTGCTGCAATTTAACCTCAGTACTTCTAGTACGTTCTGTAATATTCTTTTGAGAACAGCACTGGAAGGCTACTTACGTATATTAAAAACCAATTAGGTGATAGCGCCTGTCTGTAGGTATTTAAATAAACAAGCTCGTCCTTTTCTGCCAATATATAGTAAATATTTATTTATTCATTAAATTATCATTGTGTAGATGGTTACTCAGACCTACTCAAGCATGTGTAAAGTGTTTATAGTCGTGCTATTTGTACTGTTTGGCCAGGCGCTGAGCAAACCTCGACGTAAGTATTCGATTTAAGTATTAGGTAAATATTTATTTGTTCAGAAGTGAGTTCTCTTTTTAATATTAATGTTAACTAATTGTGAAATTGTTTTCTGGAAATCCGCGACTCTTCGTTATCATATTATTCTTTTGCGTATTATGTTCATCATAAACTGAATCATGGAGCCCAACATAACATAATAATATGGAAAAATATACCCTTCTTCGATTAGATATTAGTGAAGATCATACGTATGTTCGAGGAGCTACACATATGTTCTCCTCTGTTGCAAAAAGTAAAATCATTTATTTAACCAGTTTTCTTAAGGCCAAGCTATTATCAAATACGAAAACTTGAGAAACAATCAAGATACAACTCTTTGTTACTTAATTTTGTTACTACAAACTTTTCTTCTTCCATATCATTTACCTATTGCATCTTGGTGTTATTGTTCCTGATGGACTTACTTTAAGTAAGATATTCAATAACTTGAGAGCCATTAAAACATTCTCTTAAACGAAATGGCAATCATCTGTTTAGTTTTTGAGATGGTTGACTAGAAACCAGATAAATTCACAGTTTCTAACTTTTTTTACACAGAAGCAGCCGCGCAGGCAGAAGCCTAAATGCCAGGATACCGCGGCTGCTATGAGGATACCAAAGAAATGTCGTTAATCCGATTTTTGAATTGCCTAAGGTTAGCAGAGCCGGGAAAAGCCTTCTCTTGTGGATTGTTCCACAGCTTGGAAATCCTCGGGACCTAGGAGCGGTCATATAGGCAGTTCTGGATGTACGAGGTTCGACACGGTTAGGCTGGGAAGCCGCAGTCAGGTGGGCCTGTCTGGCAGGCACATCGCGTGGCAGCACCATGTGAGAGAGCTCTGAAATGCAAAGCCCGTCAGAGTAATCGATCAGTCGGACAGCCCTCCTCTGGACAGCATCGAGAATAGATAATGTAGTCGAGGCGGCAGCACCTCAAACGTGTGAAAAATACTCAAGGCTAGGTCTTACCTGGGCCTTGTATGTGTGTTCGTGCAGGATCAAGTCCCTGGTAATCTGGATACCGACCAGCCGAAAGGAACGGCTCTTTGACAGAACTCGGGCATCCATAGAAACCAAAATGAGCCCTAGGACGCTTTTGTTCGTCAAGGTACAGTACTGTGTTTTGGAAGTATTAAACTGTACAAGATTGTAGCGTCCCCAAGCAGTGATAATCTCCATGTCTCTCATCACAGAGGAAGTCGCTGCTAGTCTTCTTTTTTCCAGCTTACCATCAGAGATCGGTTTGTCGCTCTGAATTCCTGCATCTAGAGTGCTATGATCAGCAAAGTTGTGGTTCGGATTGGTCGTACCGCAAAGGAGGTCGTTGATATGCAAGAGGGATGGTGTCGGAGCCCATACCGATCCCTAGGGAATGCCTTATTCAATTGTGATATACAGGGTGTTCGAAAAATAGAGAGATATTTCAGAGGTTGATTCCTTGTTAAAGAATATAAAATATTCGATAAACAAGAATCCAAAAATGCAGAATTTTCAAGATACAGGATAATAAATTAATAATAAAAATGAATTTTTTTATTAATATCTTTAAAAAAAATCACTCGATTCTGTTGAAATTTGGCAATATTATTTGTTGTATTAAGGGGCTAAATATGTTTATTTTTGTTTTCCAATGCTTTTGTATTTTTTTAGAAAAAATTTATAAACCAATTTTGTATATTCACAAGCAATAAAACGGTTTTTATTTTCAAACAGCCTTTATGGAAACGAATTGCATTATAATTGCTTTTCTGCCAAACGGAGATACTGTTTTCCTGACGATTCGCCAAAAAAAAAAAACATCATTGTCAACAAGAAGGTCCACCCCTATTCGGATAAAAGTGGCATGGCAAAGAAGACATCCTAATCTCTTCTGTTTTTTAGAGTCCTTCCCCTAAATTGTACCTAGCTTCATAAATATTGGTTGTAAAGCATGTATCCCGAAAAAAAGTTTCGGAAAAGATCAATATCCTTCTTGACTGCCAAAAAGGTTATTTAAATAATACTGCATCTGAAGTAATTATAGAAACAAATTGACCGCAAGTTGCGCACAGTCAGTAGCGGCTCCGCACCGATGTAAATTGCTGTCAACAACAGCAAGTAATCATTTATGCTAACAATTCAGATCTTCAGGATCATAATGGTTTTTCTAATTCTTCTGCCCATACGCACGCAAGGGAGCTGCTGTGAAAAATGTTTTATCACTCAAAACGGTAAAGCTGCCAAATCCATGCCAATCACTGGAAAGTCAGAAATCATCATATTTCCTATTTTTCTATTTATAATAGTAATATATAATAACTTAAAGTGAACAAATCTAAATTGCTGACATACTCGACATATCAACTGTGACACAGTAGGTCTTGGACGGATAGGAAAGGCGGAAGGTTATGAAAAAGTTATAGTCCAGTAGAGAAAGCTGGAAGTAACATGCAGAATATAACTTTTGCAAAATTCTTGAACTTTAGTTAATAAAGCGCAAACTGTCAAAACAAGATGACGAATTTGAATCTGGCAGTTTTCTTGATAGCCGGTGATAAGCTGCTAAATTTCAACATTTTTTTCGAAATCAATTTTACAATAAATAAATTGGCGTCAAGAAGGTTGATTCTGCACTTCCCGCGCAATGCTGTCGTCAGCTCGTAAATGATCAAGTTAGTCCCTCTGAACTAGCTACAAACATGTATGTTTTTCTCAAGCCTCAGAAATGTCGAAAAACAAAAGATTTTTATTTTTTTTTTGTCACCGCCATTGGACCGATTTTTGAGAACTACAAAACGTTTTTGTCCTTAGTAAAGTAGTTATTTCGTATGAAAGTTTCTCGAAAATCCAAACGGTACTTTAGTTTTAGACGGAGCAAGGATTAGCGAATACACAAACCGACAGACAGACCGACAGATCGAAAGAAACGATTGACATGGTTTTTCGTGATGTACATGTCATACGAGAACATTAAAAAAACATAATACCTCGTTCACGAAATTCTTCGCGAATACTACAGTTTCTCGCCAGTAGGCGTGGGAAGTAACTGAATTTTGAAAAAATTTTGACATTCTTTATCTTGTATACAAAGCGTTTCCAGGATAAGTTCAGTTTATTTAAACCTTTTACTTCCCACGCCCACTGGCGAGAAAGTATTGTAATCGTGAAAACTTTCGACATTGAGATATATTTTTTGAATCTGATATGACATGTACATTGCTCATTTCCGTCAATCTGTCTGACTATCGGTCTCTCTTCTAATACTTGCACCTATATAACTTGGAAAGCACTGCTCAGATTTTGGATATCTTTACACGTAAGATTACTACTAGGACGAAAAAGCTTTGTAGTTTTTGAAAATCGGTCATGATCATTCCTTCTAAAAAAAATTTACAGTTAAGAAATTGGAGGGTGGGGGGTTGCAAGGGGATAGAGGGTTGTGGGTTGGGTTTATTGGATTTTTTTAATGTTAGTATTTCGTTTACACTTCTAACCCCGGTAATTGTATATACCTACTAGTCATATTTCCGCCGCACTTGCCGTATGGCATGGTGTTATAAATATTGCACCTTTGTCAGTGAATCCGAGGGACTTATAAAAGCAGGTATCAGACGGGAGTGATAAGATATGCGCATTCGAGTAGCGCGCGATATTATCGTATAGTTGAGATGTCGTTTCTCGGACTTCCATTGCCTATAAGACCTTTTGATTCACGACGTTTCGATTGACGTAATCGTCAATCGTCATCAGGTCCCCGACTGGCGATCACATAAATAACGAAGCGAAACAAAAAAATATAGACAATGAGAGAACGTGAAACAACTAATTAATCATCCATATGTTCGTCAAATTTCAAACAACAGTTATCATACAGATTATGCTTGTAATGTAATTTAATTACGTTACTTCATTTCGTGAGGTATCAAACATTGTTGATAAACAGTTTTACACCAGAGCTATAACGCACATTGCAGCAATCTGTGGAAATATTTTTTTCGTGAAAAGCCCAAATAGTGCACTATTGTTTCTGACAAGATCCACGTCTCTTTGACCATTGCAGCATTGCACTTCGTGGAAAATTCTACTAGAAGTTGTTTCGAAGGCGCCATTTCTTCTTTAGGATCACCCTATGAATGATCCCTGAAGCTTAACTAGATACTTTAATAGAGCCATCTATACATTGGTATATTCCTCTTGCAGTCAAATCCTACTTGACCACACTATCGTTTAGCGCAATTTGGCTGCATTATCGCTCTAGAGCTATTTTGATCGGCCCTCGACAAACATCAATGTGGACGTCCGATTTTCAGCAAGAAATCGTACTTTTTGGGCGGTTGTTTGCAAAAATATAGTTTTGTTCATGTTGGTGGGAAGAACCCGTTTGAGCTCGCGTCGCCGTCCCTGACCACCGACGCGACGGTGATTCTTATTTACACAAATTATTTATTGAAAAGAATCATCGGAGTCAAAGAATTGTATATAAGCAAGTTCACATTAAGCGTACGTTGCAGGTGGCGTGTATCTTGTAGCACAGAACTAAAAACTCATTTCAATATGTATAAGTTGTTATGTTTCCTCTGTGTTGCATGTTTTATCGATTGTGCTTTGGCGCTAAGACGTAAGTGATTTAATCTTCTTCTGATAAGTATTTCCATAGTTTCAAATACGTCAGTTTTAATACTGGAAGGTATTTTTTTCTATTTTTTCAGTACGCCTCAGATAACCTCAATTTTCTTATCCTAATAGATTATTTATCAGGTGTCATTATTCCAGGGTTCCAAGCTTTTATTTTACTTAAATACAATCCAGAAGAAAACAATAACCTGTTTGAATTAAGTCATCAATTCAAATACAAAGAATAATGTTATTATTAGTAACTGAAGTAACACATAAACCTTTAAGATCCAACTGGACATGATAATAAAATTTAGAATAAATCAAAGCTGTCAGCTTAATTCTGAATATTCTCTATGGAAAAAAGGTTACTGAAAGGATAC